TCTGCTGGTCTCAGCACAGAGTGGCTTGGCTTTGGCAGCACACAGTCACAGATACCGAAATCGACCATGCAGCAATTGTCTTTTAAGGTCTTCTAGTTGCTGCAAAAGATATCATGAAAACAAAACCATGGTAGGCCACTATCTTTGCCTTTGCAGTTGGCAATTCAGCCAGAAGTGATCGAAGACACTCCAAGCCACATATAACTAGTGTTGGTAAAGATATTCTCCTCCTTTTCTTTTCTTTGTTCTTTTTGCATTTAATTTTATTAAATGCAATTAGCCTCAGAAGTTCTCTCCAAGGAATTTTCATGAAATTGTTATATATGTTAGATGACATTTTGGATTCATGGAATATGGTGATGTTACACTTATTTAGTTACAAGGTGGCCATGGCATGTATGAAAAAGTTTAGTTTAGCCTTTTACTGTATAATCATGCCCCCAATGGTCTGCAGTCTCTCATTTTTATGGATTTCTATAAATTCTCCAAGGAATAAATCATGGACAAAGCCTTCCTACCTGGCTTTTTCATTAAATGTACCACTAAGAAGGAATCATGTCCGGATCAAAACCTTAGACATTTTCTCTTTTACCTTGAGAAAAGTGGTGCCAAATGTACTGAATTTTTAAATTAGCATTATGTCCAGGAGAACCCCACCCAAGGGAACAGAATGGCCAATAGTCCAGATCAATTTGCCCACTTTTTTTTTTTTTCAGTACTATTGCCATTAATTTTGAGATGTCACAACTGTGGTTATTTTCACTTTCATTTAATTATATATTTTTATCAGGACAGAAAGATTTTGAGTTGCCTGCACATTCCTTCAAGTATAATTTATTCACAACTTACATTGTATAGTGCCTGCTTTTCAAGTATTCTGTATAATTTAAATTTTAACATAGCTGATTTTTAACATTATTTCACCGCAGGAAAATCTTTCTCCCTCCCTCCCTTCCATGATAGAATATGAAGCCTGATACTTCATATTTCATTTCCACATGAATATTTTTAAAAGATAAGGTGTAATTCAATAAATGGTTTTCAGCAATACATTAACGGTAGTAGCCTATTTCATGAGATGGAATAGAAAAACATACTATATCAGAATACCTTTATATGAACTGCAATACCTAAAGTAGCCACTAGATGAAGTATTCCTATTCTCAAACACCCAGAAAAATTTGTGTCATTTATCTGTGTTTTTACCAATATACTATTCAAAAGTTTTTAATAACTCAAAATCTATAATAAAAACACTTAATATATTACACTCACTTAAATTTTAATATTTGGCCAGGAAATGTAGAATTATCTTTATCATTTAATAGAAATCCTAGAGATTATTAGACAACTTCTGGAATTAGTTTAAAAAGCAGAATGCATCACCATTTTTTAAAACTATTTTCTATTTTTAAAACCTCAGGTTTCTTAATGAAAATGCAATGCCAGATATAGTTCCATTGATCAACAATAAAAACTTATAATTAAAGATGGAGAAAATCCAGCTCTGCAAATCATAATTTGCACAAAATTAACAGCAGCTACTTCCTAATAAAAGCTGTAGTTACTAGGATAATTAAGGAAACAGTTGATAATATCACTTTTAGCTAAGAAAATCCTACAATGAGGCTTTCAGACTTTTTACATGAAAAAAATGGTTCAGAAAAGAAATAGGAAAATATGTACTGTACATGGTTAATGCTAGCAGCACTGGTTCTCTGGAATTCTTGCTGCACCGTGCTAGCTCCTGATCCTAGTTTGGAACTGCATAATTCTTCCTTATTTTTTCTCCATATTGCAGTGACTGGTCTATAGCTGCAGCAATGTACTCTCACTGCCCTCAGTCTTTTTGATTTGGCAGCCTAAAAAATCAATACACGACTATTGAATTATCCTATCAAGTGGTATGGCACATGATGATTTACCATTTTCAGCCCGTATCTGTTTCATTTCTTCTTCTGCTTCCCCGTGTGTGTATGTACACAATAATATTTTCATTAAATAACAATTATCATGTCATAGGTCCATTTTCACTGATTCCATTGGCCACACTGACTGACAATGAAGAAAGTCAGAATAGATGGAGATAGATGGAAAGCAGTCGGTTGGAATAAGTTGCAGTAAACAATTCAAAAATAACCAGAAGGCAGACTTGGCCTGTTCAGCTTTTTGAAATGGGAGTTTTATAAAATCACTACCATGCTTATATTCCTCTTTGATCTGTAATATTACGACTCAGAGCAGTATCTCCACTGCTTCGTACGTAGAGTTGCTTCTTCTTGCTACTTAGCAACCAGAAGCAGTGCTTTCAAGATAAAGGATATGATGTTCAGGATTTAAATTCTATGTTTTAGATCATAGAAGAAACAAAAAGTAGATGAGATAAACTAGACAAGGAAAGAAGAAAGTAAAAAGAAATTAATGTGTGGGAGAAGATGCCAGAAGTATTCAACAGAGATAGGAGAGGGGAAAACATTTAGTGGAGAAGCTGTTTCTGGTAACAGGGATCTGTTATAAATTTATAAAACAATATATATATTTATACGTACATATGGCAGGAATGCATTTTTCAGACTTATCAATACAGCCCTGTATAATCATTTTAAATAATTTATGATGATGATGCAGCTCACCAATAACTTCAGATTAAAGATGAAAACTGTAATCCAAACATGCATACCTGGAATTATTTCAATTAGTGAACTTATTTCTAAGTGGACCAGCCTGTCATTGGATTGTACTGAGAGTAACCCTAGCCAGTTTAAGTATTTATAAAATTGGATGTTTAAATGGCATCTCTTTTAAATTTGCTTGCTGGACCTTTCATTGCTTTTATTTGTTGTGTCTGCTGCTATTGTAATCTACAATTTAAAACCCCCATTGAATGGGTTTTCATGACTATTCATATTTACAAAGGACAACTGCTGTGGATTTTTGTTGTTTTTCTTAATACTAAACTTCATGGATAAAATATCAGCTAGATATTTCCCTTTGAAAGAAAAAAAATAAACAAAACCAAACAATTTAATATATGGCACTGTTTTAAACCGCATGACAGAGCATGAGGCCAATCAGAATGCAGGTTATGTTCCCATGCACAATTCACCCTTTTGGATTCCAACAAAAATGATAAACTGCCATTATCACTGTGCGTCTTTACATTTGCTGTCTATAGAACCTCAGGTTGCATCCTATGCCTCTCATCTCAGTTTTCAGGAATATGCCAAATGCAATATATAAAGCTTCTGATCCATCATCATGAACCCAGGGATATTCTGTATACCTATCTGAGATAGGGATTGGAGTATTAAAATCAGCAAAACGACAGAAATAGGATCCATTACTGGGCAGCAATTAATCCAAATTTAGATCAACGATGACTGGTAATTTGTCTTCAGTGTGTAATAAAATGTCACATTCCACCAATGGTATGATACATTATATAAATGGAAATATGTTAACTACTATTTTTGATGTGATATTGACTCTCAGAGGAAACACACCAGTTAGCAAGATTTAGACTTAATTCCATAGAATCGGAGCTATTTAGGATTTTTGTGCATAATAATTCACAATGAATATCGTGCAGAATAAAAACAATAATTATGTTTTCATTTCAAAGGGATCTTGCGTACTTACAGATATAATTTTGAATTTTAATGGGGCACGTACAATTTTTTATCCATGCAGCTTACTATTTATATGTAACAGATTTTTAGTGTGAATCCCAATTATGCAAGCTTCATCTGTTTTAATGCTTCTCACACAATTTGAAATCACATCTTTTTCTTAATTTACTATTTTTATACTATACTTATACTCTTTATAAGTATAAAATTACTTATACATTATTTTTTCCAGTTTTTCTGTGAAATATTTTGAAAGTGCATCAAAAAATTGTATGTAGACTGTATCAGGTTAACAATTTTATGTGTATGCATAACAATATTGAAAATATATTATCTAGCATTGTAAGTTTAAAAAACAATGTTCTTATTAAACTTTTAAGATGACCAAGAATTAAGGATGCACAATTGCCAAGTCTTAAAGAGTGTCTCCATATTTTCACAAAAAATACATCATACTTTAGCAGAATAGTAATAGTTGCTGAAACATTCTTTGTTCCCCATCTATTGGTTCATCAGTAACTGCATTTACTGTAACTTAACACTGATTTTGTTCTGCAAATTAGCAAATGGAATTCTAAAGTTAAGAAAATGTATACTAATTTTGGGTGTAAGCTTTAATTTTTTAATATTTCCTCCCTTTTTATTTTCTGGTAAAAGCAGTTAGCCATATGAAGTATGTAAGTTCAAATAATTACAAAAATGTTTGGAAACAGAAAGCAAAACCTGATGCTTTTATGATACAGTTAGAGATTTGTATTAGAGTCCCATTCTAATCCCTCTAACGAGAGATGCAACTTTTAGGTTAATATAATGCATTACAAGAATGCTTGTAATCAGATCCACAGCTTTGAATCTACATATTCTATTTTACCCAAGGTTTTAAAAAGTGAATTGTTTGCAATCACTGACAATTCCGATTACAGGACTGAGTTTGATTCAAATTCAAATACATCTTATTCAATATCTTAGAACTGACATTTGTGAGAACCAAAAGCTTGTATTTGTGTATGTGTGTGTGCATCTGTCTTCTATCTAGAAATAAATACACTTTTTTCACCCCATCCCATTTAGTGTTATTCTCTAGATTGAGACATAATGAAGTACATTCTAAAGCTTGTCAAGTGAATTTGCTCAATCTAAATTAATGGACAAACAGAGGTATGAGATGCAAGACAAAATATTGCATCCTCTTTGATCAAACAGATGCTTTAAAAATATGGAACTGTAATAGCAGTTGATTGAATACTTTCTATATTGTATACATACTGCACAGATTAGTCTAGGTTTTAATGTTGTAAACCACAGAATATTTTTACTTCTTTGAAAACAAAGCAAAAATTGCAGTCCTATATACGCTTGTCCTACAAAAAAGTCACTGAACCCCACAGACCTCCTTTCAGGGTACACATGCATAGAATTACTCGTTTATTTTTCAAGGGAACTTAGATGTGCTGATGAAATGCTTTAAGATACTTCTAATTAATAAAACGGAGTGGACTCAAAGAACATTCCATTGCTGAATACAAAAATATTGCCACTTTAAAAACAATAAGTTAGTTTATTTTACAATACTTTACACTGTTTTGTCATCAGACTTTTCACGTTGAATTGTCATGCTTCATTCACATATGATTTCATAATTTTGCACAAAGCATCTCCAACAACATGTCATCCATATTTACTGTTCCAATGATGGGCCTGAAAAAAAGTTCTGCAATAACACTGGCATTAATTGTTCTGAGCATGGAAAGAGCCACATTCAGTTTGGCAAATCTGTCCTGGTCTTCTCTGTGAATCAGTCTGACATGTTCATTTAGGGCTTGTTGTGCTTCTTGTTGCAGTCCTTGGATATACTGCACACAGTGCAGCCCTGGCAACTCTAAAAGGAAAGGGGGTAGGAAGGAGGACAGGACATAAACATTATGTTATCTCTTGATATTATTTTTTTCACTTGCAATATAAACAACTTACAACAGATCCACTTGCTGTTAATAATATAGCAGATTGCACTGAACCATCTGACTAAAGTTGCAAATTCAAACAAGTAGTCCAAAAGAGTTATCATGCCAATAGATTCATATCAAAACTGGCCGTTATGTGGAATGCATTTCGATCTATTCTCCTCCAAAGAGATACTAATAAACTGGGATGGAAGTTTTTCTATTGAATACACAGAAAATTCTAAAATCTTAATTTAACTCAGACCTGATGAATAGCACAGAAACTGACATGAGTGTTTTTCTCTCTTACCTCTGTTCCTAGGAAGTAGCATTATTTATACTGTTTTAATAATGAATAAATGGTACATCTCAACTAGCTCGGACGGTTTAAGAATATAACTTTCAATATTATTGCAAGTAAATTTTTCAGATTAAATTATTATTCAGTCCCTAATGTCTTCATAACTAATGTACTCAGTTATTCCATCTCACACATTATGTAATTTAATAAGGTTTAAATCATATCCTTCCACACCACATATTAAAAAAAATGTTATTGACTAACCAAAACAAATCTTTGTTTTCTTTTTTCTTAGATTAAATCCTTAAATGAGATATGCTGAAGCAAAGGTACCCCTAGTTCTAACACAATTTTGAGGTAAGTCCATCATTTATTTGTTTTCTTTGACACAGAAAGAAAACAATATTGCACATGGAATATTGTTTGTTTATTTATTTTTCAAAATCCAAACCTAACATGCTTTACTGGACTACTGCCTGTTTATAGCTTCCCAAGTGGTGTGAAGCAAGTAGAGTTTTGACTTTTTTTTTTCCTTTTCTTGCAGTCTGCATGCAACCCTTGCAAACTCAAATTTGCTTCCACATCAAGTATTATCAGAAGGCTTTTTCAGATTAGTACTTCTTCCAACACTTCAATTCACAAAATTCACACTATAAGCTCTATCACCTGCTATGAAACCAAGAAGCAGAATTACTACTAAATTATTATTAGGCATTTAGTAAGTTTTTAAAAATACAGAACACAGAAGCCAGCAGTCTAATCCCCAAACGCTGTATTCCCACACCTCCAGGTCAGAGCTAAATACTAATTTCCAGTTATTGAATAAGAAATACGATTTTCGGGGGGGGGGTTGTTTTTTTGTTAAAGATGCTTTGGCCAGCACGGAAACATGGGCAAAGCTAGACCAGTCGAATTTCCTCCCAAGGTGCTATCAGGAGGACAGGCCCCAGAGCCAATCTTCCATAACCAGATGTCTTCCAGATGAGTTGGAGTCCCCGATAGGAGTTGCAGGCCAACACATCTGGGGGTCCCCAACTTTGACGCTTGTCCCAAGTCGAACCCAGGCACTACCAAAACGGCTGGCTTACCCGGATTGAAGAGGACCGTCCCCTTGAGGTAGGCGTACTCCTTGGTGCCTATGTCCAAACTCCAGCATTTGGCCAGGAAACCTTTGATACTCTGGATCTCTGCCGCCGACGGTAGCTTGGCGTTGCTGCTGCTGCTGCCGCCACTGTCGCCGCCGCCGCCGCTGCCATTCCCACAGCTCTGCTCCAACTCCTCCTGGGTCTCGCGGAGCAACTGGAGTTGCCTCCGCCGCCGCTGCTCTTCATCGCAGCGCTTGTTGGTCAGTATCCTGTGGAGCATGCTGGGCTCCGTGGTCTCTACTGTCTCGAAGTGCACTCGATCCTGGGCCAGCCCCAGCACGAGCAGGGGAGCCCAGCAGCTGCGCACTAGCACCAGCTGCTCGTCCAGAGGCAGTTCCTGGAAGCAGGGCACGTTCTTGACAAAGCGCAGCGTCTTCACCAACACAGCCGAAGCCGCCTTGCACGCAACCTGCGGGCTCTTGAGGGCCACTCGCCTCTGCGTGCCGCACGAGCACCCGAGCGCCGGCGCGTAGGGCTCCTGCCCCGGCTGGGGTGCCGGCTGCTGCCCGCTTCTGGTCTCCTGCCGCTGCTGATGCTGCTGCTGCTGCTGCTCCTCGCTCTTCAGTATGTTGTAGAGAATGCTGCTCTGCCTCCGGTAGTCCGTGCAGCACCGACATTTGTCCATGCACGCCATGTCTCCAAGGGGAGGCCGCTGCGGACTCGCAGGGAGGACGAGCGGCGCTCCTTCGGCCCCAATCAAAGGCGCTGCTCGGCCCTTAACTTATTTATAGCGCGCGGGTAGCCGCGCTCTGCAGCGCTAGACTTCAAAGGTGCAGACGCTCGTTACTGGCTGGGAGAAAAGGACAGGGCGGAAAACAAGAAGGAAAGCGAGCCTTGAAAACTCCACCTTCTCTCCTCCCCTCTTCCAGGCTACAGAGAAGGAGAGCGCCTATACTATTTGTCTTTGTGCTAAGCTTGCAACGTGCTGCTATCGTTGCTGAGGCAAAATATTTACTGACAGCGTTGTGTCGCCTCCTGGCCCTCCCCCAGTTAAAATAGCTTGTAGAGCAAGGCCGAAAAGGGCAAAAATGCAAATCCTTCTACTGTATCATCCCCGCATTCTATTCTTCAGCTGGAGAACTGAAGCTTGGGAAAGCTAAAATAAAAGATGAACAAAGTTCAGGGCATTAAATTGGCTTCAGCTAGAGTCTGTTCGGTGAATTAACCAAGCACTTTAGACTTTGTAGAAGGCCATCAGATGAATATTTTCCTGGATTTGCAGGAGACGGTTGTAATGTCTAACTTTTCAACTAGAGCAGTCTAAGAAACCAAATATTTTTAAAGATCTAATTAATTCAAGGCATTTGTATCTCCCCCCACCATGCCTTGAAAATAGCACTGTTGATTAAAAAGTGGACACACAGAAAAATGTACTTACCCTTCATCATTTTATTTATATTTTACTAATTTTTACTGGATTTATGCTGAGTTTTGAGGAAAATACTTTTGTTCAAATGCAAGTAAATTTATGTCACAGAATATTGCTTTATTATGCTCCAGATTTTCTTTGCTTTCAGCTGATCAACGATGTGTTCTATTATTGTCCAGGCTTTCTTTGCATATTTCCTATTATACTTCTTTTTTTAAAAAAAATAAAATAAACAACATTCTGGGAATGCACAACAAGTCCAGTCTACAAGCCAATTAAACAATACAATATTGGAACCGGGAAGCCTTATACATTTCTAAAATAAATAAATATTTAGATTGAAGCCAGTTTGACACACTGATTTACAAGTACTTCATGAAGGTGGAGCTGCTAACAGAATAAAAAAGATGTTGTGATACCTAACCCAACATAACCATTTTTCATTATTTTGTTATTGTTAAGAGATATTTTCTTTCCCTCCCTAAAAAAAGTTGAATGTCATTTTTTTCCTTATTCATTCTCTCCATCAACCACATTATCAAGTTCTGATGTCTGTTTCTATTCAATATTTCCAGGATCCGTATCTTCATTCTTCTTCCGTCTTCCTCATTCTCACGTTCCCTCCTTAGTTTGAGTGATTTGATCTGGTTGGTCCTTTATTAGGACCAACCAGGCAAGTTGTTACCCAAACTGAATAAGCAAGAAAGGATACCTTAAGGATACCATCTTGTCTAAGTTTGTGGAGATAGATATAGATAGATAGAGGTAGAGATAGAAATAGAGATAGACATAGAGACATTTGGTTCTTTCCTGATACCTGTTTTCATTCTTTTCATTTCATTAATTTCATGTCTTCAGGCCTGGAGCAAGTTACACTGTTACTGATTTCATCTTTACAGTTTATTTTGTTTATTTTTATATATAAATGCTTGTATGCTGCCTGCTTGTACAACTGTTAAGAGCTTGCAATATACATGCATTAAAACTTCAGTTAAAAATTAATCCAACATTAAAATAATATCCATACTTGGTTAAAATATTCTTCACCAGATGCTGTAGATGAGAGGTTCCCAAACTTTCTCAGTTCACACCACCCTTACTGTCTCAGTAATTTTTCATGGTACCCCAGCAGTTCCCAAACTGTACACCACAGTGCATCAAACTTACTAACAGTTCTAGCTCTAGCTACAGACATGTCACAACACCTTGTAATATCTTTTCCAAGGTTTTCCTTCATTGCTACCCTACCAAATGCTAGTCTGCAGCATATTTCTTTACTGCTTGTTCCTTTACTGTTGATGGTTAATCCTAAAAGGCAGCAGCTATCCACCACTTTGATGTCTTCATTGTCAGTTCTAAGGCTGGTTACAGTTGGTGTGGACCTCATTAGTGTGGACTTCTTTATATTTAATCTTATCCCAATTTTTTTACTGTGCTTCTTGACTTCCATTACTAGAGCTTGCAGACTATAGTGGTACCTCTACTTACGAACGCCCCTACTTACGAAATTTTCGAGATACGATCAGCTCCGGCCCCAAAAATTTCCTTCTACTTACGACCTCGCCTTGCCTTACGAGCCATTTTCCACCCATTCCATGTGGTCCGCGGCCATTTTTCCGCCCGTTCCACATGGTCCGCAGCCATTTTCCCGTCCATACCACATGGTCCGCGGCCATTTTCCGCCCGTTCCACATGGTCCGCGGCCATTTTCCGCCCGTTCCACGTG